GTGGGAATTAATTATAAAGCAATACACTTTTATCCCAAGACCCCGCCCTAAGAGGTTTGCAGCCAAGAACCATGTAAGTTAAGGTAAAGTGTATATAAAAACAAAAGTCTATGCTAAGTGGTTTAACTGAAGGGATTACTGTAGTGAAAGGCTCTTAGAAAATTTTCTAGCCAGTAGAATCTTGGCATTTTGCCTTGAGCAGCCCATTTTAAAAAAATCAACTTGACACTTTGCATTTTACAGCATATTACTGAAATACTTGGTGGGAAATGAAAGGGTTCCTGTGATCATACCAGATCCTAATAACTGATACAGCTATTGTGTTTATAAAGAATATGACCTAAAGCTGTTACTGCTTCTCCATCTTGCAGAATTTTTTATTTCAAATCTGTGTTTCTGTGTTCCTCTTTTATTCCATTCTGTAAGTGCTAGCGCTATTTTCTGGTTTAGTTTTAACTAATAGTTTGGCTTTGTTATGTTAAGCTATACAGTCTCTTTGGCCATGTTAAGAAAGTTGGCAGAGCATTAAAATTCCAAAAATATGAGACAAGATTCAGACAGTCAATCCAACTGTATTTCTGTAATAAGCAGTAACCTTGCAGAAACCTATCTGAAACTGGAAATGCAGCCTTCCTGGAGCCTTCTGCACAGTGAAACAGAGTAAACCTGACAGCAGAATTGGGATTAAGACACAGTTTTGCCCTCCAACCATAGAGGCAATCTCTGCACCGTAAATCACCAATTTCTTCTGCTACACTAACAAAGAAAATAGAGTTGCTGCCATGGATAGGTGACAAACTTTCAGTCTAAGTGGTTGTAACCCCCTTTCCTGCCTCTGTCCATATACTAATAAATGCAAAATAGAAAACAGAGCTGTCTCCAAAGAGAATGTAACCACCTAGCATCCAGTCAAACAGGGCAGCAGCCTACCAATATCTAAAGCTGCCAAACAAATGAGACTTAGCATCCTGGTTTTTTGTAGATGTTCACTCATATAAGCATATAATAACAAATAATTAAAATCTTCCCAAGCATGGTAACTTGCTTCTATTTTAGCATAACATATAAAGGTTAGCACAATCCCAAAGGATCATCCCAACTAGGTTTTCCAGTACAGAACAGAGTCATAACTCCTGCAGAGGGCTTTATAACATATACGGTTTGCCTAAGCTCAGCCGGTGAACCCCTCTGTTCTAGGCTCCTTCAGATTCTGGTGTCTCTGCTGGAGCTGCGAGTGCTGCAGGGTTCCTGTCAAATAACAAAAGATGAAACTCTGCAGAGCATTTAGCACCTTGATGCAGATGGCACCACTCTGTATCGCTGCATGTGTTCTGTGGAGGAGTTTGCTTGATATAAAAGGAGTATAATGCAAATACGTCCACTTTGCTGCACTCCATCCCAATGTCTAATAGCAAAGGCCAGTAGCATTAAAACAATTATAGGAACAATTGGTGTTGATATTTAAGAGAGCTACTGTGCTAGTGAAAGGATGGGGCTTGAGCTTCTCCACGTTTTTGTAGATCTGCAACTACAACCCTTACTTGTGGTGTGCTCCCTGTGATCCAATGAAAGCATACAGTACAGAGTACTGTTCTATTGCAGCTCACTGTTGTAAGGAACTTCTGTCACAGCATACATGACCATCTGATTGCATTTCACAAAAGCCTGGATGGAGGGGACGATTTCAAAAGAGATGTTGTTCGCTATGGGGTAAGGCCAACACAAAATCACCCACAGAACTGAGGAGGTGCAACCACTCTCAGGTTGTTGCCAACGTTAGGTAGAGGCCTGTACAGCAAGTAGTTCAAGATTAAAGCAAGCACACACACCTATCATACCCAACACATCTGTTACATTACATTGGGTTTTGGAAGGCCACAAAGAATAAATTCCTCCTGCTGCGAAGGCATCCTGAGATGAGCCAAAGAATGCATCAAGATAACGGCTAGTAAACAAGAGAAACACTGGAGGCAAATAGATCTCAGTTGCAGCATTGGCAAATAACCTGGCATGAAGGATAAAAATTTTAATCAGCTATTCCACCCACCAGCCAACCTAGTGGCAATAGGAGAGCAGCAACAGCAAAAACTTAAGCTTTACAAGCCATGCTGCCAACTCCTGCAACTTGCTGAGACACCAGTAACCCTCCAGCAGCACGACACCGGAAGTTGGTCACAGATAATGACTTTTCATCAGGCCAGGGCCAGCTTGTGATCGGCTGCTAAAGTTCAAGGTTCTCTTTTCTCGCTGTCAGCTCTTACTTTACACATCCTTTTCTTTCCCCTACCTTATTTCTTTTCTGGTTAGTAATTACAGCTTAGCAGAGTGACATCTAATATTGAGTAACACTACAGTGAGCCTAATACCAAGGAAGAATACAAAACCAGAAAAGCCCAATAGTGATAAAAGTTTGCTAGGTATCAAGTTGACTGATAAAGTTATGCCTCCGTTGAGCATCGAGTTTACAAGCAGACGTAGAAACTGCTTTCTCTCTCTCTGTAGTTGTTTCTCTCATTGCCTGCATTTTTGCTTTCTTCTGTCCAAAGAAAGCAGGCCTGGACTTCCAATAACAAAACACCAAGCACCAAAACAACTCATTCAACTAACTGGCTCTTTTTCCTCCAAAAGTACAGTATCTTCCTTAATCACATCTAAAAGGCTGTAATTTCCTGGGGAAAAAAAAAAACCAAACAAACCTTTACGTTTGTTTGCGAAAGAATTCACAAAATAAGGCTTCTATATTCAAAACTGCAAATACTGCTTAACCGTTGAATATCATCCCTGTACAAGCTTCAGATGCATTTGCTCCTGAATGCCTTTACCTTTCCAGCCTTTGCCCACTGAACAGCGCACTCACAAAATCCTCTCTCCTTGTCTGCCAGTACCCCCTGCCACAGACTGCGGTACATGAGGAAACAAGAGTTTCAAGTTCTGGTGGAAAGCATTGTACAAGTCAGAATGAATTAAGGTCTTGGCTGTCATATTTTTTGCCCTGGGCCTTCCTTTTCGAGAAGAAAGAATTTCATTATTAATATTTTGAATTAAAATTCATCATGAAGTAATGTTTAAAATGTACACTTAAAAGTTTCAGAAAATGTGAATTAGAGACTAAAATTTGACACAATCCTGTAGCAAATCCTTTAAGCATTTTTTGGTTGTTACAGAGCAGATTATTTTTTTTTACACCAGCTAGCATCAGTAAACTAGATCACTGGGTTCCATTTTTCAAGCCTTAAACTTTTTTTTCTTAAATTCATCTTGGTCTTGGATTACCTGCCATCCCACACTGTGATAATCTCTGCCAACTTTATACCAAGAGAATTCACAGATCCTTGATGCCATCAGGCTCTCTGAAAAGGTCTTTACTCTCCACTGTAAAGAAACATTTCTTATTTTCAAGAGGGCTTTTTTAAATGCAGCAAGAATCTAATATGGCTACTGCCCGTTTCATTAAATAGTTGTAGAAAATTGGGAGGGCAGGTATAATTTCTTGTTTTCTAAATATTTGACCTTAAGTATTTTTATGTATAGCAGGAAAATCATATTTTCTAACTATGAAAGCTAACTAAAGTTCAACTGTATAGTGTTGTGTCTAAATCTGTACAGTTAATTTTCAAGAAAGAAATGGTATTTGCTTGTAAGCTCAGCTGATGATTTGCATACAACTTTCTCGGACAAATCAAGGCACTGAAATTTAAGAAGTTCTCTTTGCTGGGGTGGAGTGATGGTGGAATTACAGCACTCATTGCAGCTGCAAAGTATCCAACCCTTATCCACAAGTTGGTTGTCTGGGGAGCAAATGCCAGCGTTACTCAAGAGGATGTGAGAATTTATAATGGTATGTACAAACTGAATATCATATCCTAAAAGAATTACTTTCATTTCTTCTTGACCTAAGAATCTTAGTCATGTAATAGCTAAGTGGAGACAGAGTTGAGGACTCAACAAATCTAAAGGAACAGGACACAAAATTCACCAAGTTGCTAAGTACAAAAGTCATTAAGTGACTTCAGAAGTGGTTAAAGTCGTAGTGAGAAAGTCCCTAACAATTACTCTAGGGGTAATATAATAGAATTTTTAACAAGTCCTTACCAACTTATGCTGCTGAAAAGCATAAGTTATAATAGCTTATCAGTAGTTTTCAGAAAGTCAATTTTTTGTTGTTGTAACAAATACCTGAAAAGAAATTCCAAATAGTACTATTGACCCCAGGCTTGACATCTTTTCTCACATCTTACACAACCTTTCAACAAGGTCCACAGAAAAAATCACTGGGCTAGCACATAACAGCTTTTGCTTCTAGGGCCTATACAACAGACAGTAAGAAGGCAAGCTCGTAACTTACCATTTGAGTTCAGGAAGCAAATGAATCATTCAAGTAAGTGTCCCAGGATGCCTTTGTCATTTGCATTCCTTTAAAGATAATTACCGTGGTTACAAAACCTTTGCAAAGTAAAGAAACATAGGATTTCTGATCCTTGTTCCACTCATATGAAATAGAATCTGCTCATTTGTTGCTCTAAAGGAAAATAGCAAAAACTACTAGTGAACTCAGAAAGGGACTGTATTTCCTTTTGAAATTAGGAATTAAAAGAGTTAACCACGCAGGCTCTCAACAAACATAACCCAGTATAGTTTCATGTTAGTGACTGGAGTTTGATTTATACCAACTGTGGAGTCTGACTGATTGGCTTCAGCTAAATTACAAGTGTATGTATTGCACATGTGTACTTACCTCACCTATACTAAAGCACTTTCATTGATGGTAGTAGTAGTAGTATATTTTTTAGTTCAGTAAGCAAAATGCTTTTTAGCTCTGTAAAAGTGCTGCTTTATTTCTTTACATGCTTTTAAATTTATGAAGTTTTTATTATATAATTATGAAAATGCACATCAGTTAGTATCAGCCAACAGGCTAAAATGCAGGAAAAAAAAAGAATAATAATAAAAAAAAAAGGAGTCTTGCTTTACACAGAACGCCCACAGCAATGCTGACTTTTGGCCTCTTCATGGACTGGTGCTTTCAACATCTCTCTCTGGGTGATAGAGCTCAGGGAGTAGCAGCACAAGCCTTCTACAAACTGGCCCATCAGTGCATCTCAGCTGCAGTGGAAGGGTTGGTAGGAGAGAAAAGGTGTTTATTTGGTATCTGTGTCCTTTCAACATTGGTTTTTACACACACACACTTTCTTAAATTAAGGCCACCCAGAAGGATAAAAGAGTAGATTCTATAAGGGAAACAGCTGTTCAGTGACAGCTAGCCTGGGGTGAGCAAACTCATTTCCAATCAGATGTTGTTACAAAGCACTTTCAGTCACTACTGCCTTGCTCATTTGACTGGGCAGGTTCTGCCTGTTAATTAACACCTCACTCCTTCCCTTAATTCCCATTTGAAACCAATTAAAAGTTTTTCTAGTGGCATATATTGCTGTTTGATGATTCAGTACTTTTCAGCTTCTCTGCTGTACTAACATTGCTCTAGGCTTTATCAATACAAAGCTGTACAGCTGAAATATAGTTTAGTGAAAGTCACTCTTGTGGATATCTGGTTTGTGAGCAGTACTGAAAATTTTAGGGGAAAAACTAGGTAAATCTGATAAATAACTAAAATGTCAGATTATTTGTACAGCTTTAGCAAGCCTGCCATGAGCTGCGGGGCTCTAGTAAGTAGAGTTGCTTGTTTTTCTGTAAGACTGTGGCAAACGTACCATGATGTCAGCCTGCTGGAATGCCTTAGTAAGAGCTTCCTTCCTCTGAATACTGGTAGGAGCCATGGAAGAACTTCCATCCATGAGCCAAAGCAAAAGGCTGAAGGATATATAAAAAAACCTGCCAGCTCTGGCACAGTGTTATAAAACAGGCCCCTTTTTATACACGAAGAGCCTCCTTGAGTTCCTATTCTGCGAGCCCTCCAGAAAGAAGCATCAGAAATTTTAGGACTGGGTCCTTTGATTATTATTTTTTTTTCTGCTGTTCCTTGTGACCATAACAACAAGATGGTCTTCTGCAACTCAGAAGGACCTCAGCAGAGATCATAAAAATACCTTTTTTATATCCTTTCCATGCTATGAATTATTTCAAACCATTCAGTGCAGTTTCAAGTTTGAAATACATATCTGAGGTCTGGTTTGAAAACTCACTCATATTAGGTGTTGGCAGCACTGGGTTACATCTTGTTGCTGGAAAGGACTTAACATATTTCAATGTTATTTTATGTAGGCATCCGAGATGTTTCAAAGTGGAGTGAAAAGGTCAAGAAACCACTGGAAGAGCTGTATGGACATAAGTACTTTGCAAAAACCTGTGAGGCTTGGGTAGATGGAATATCTCTCTTTGCTGAAAAATCAGATGGTAAGGCTTTTACAATGTTAAACTGGAGTAATTATAGTAGCAGACAGTTCTGAATAAAAAAAAAAAATCTAACAGTACTCCTAGCAGCCAGTAAAGGAAGGACTCTGCGTATGGCATTAAAAGCAGGGTCTGACTCACGCTCATGAATAAAGCCATTATTTTGTAGATGGTTCACAGAACCAGCAAGGTACAGGAGGAAAACACATTTATGGGAGGCTTTAGCTGATGAGTCCCTCCTCTTGTTCTGCCACAAAACTACATTATTAAATCATTGCTTTTATGCAGACTGAACAGGAGGGATTCTGCTCAGGCTTTTTTCTTCTCACCTCTCCTCTCTCAGTGTTGAAGGATTACCTCTTTGTGACATTGTTAAGATATCCCCAAAATGAAGTTTGTTCATTCTAGTTTCTGTGAACAGGAGCTGAAGCATTATTTCAAAACTAGTAGCATATAATGAGTTAAAAAAGAAGGAAGTTCAGATTTCAGGAACTCAGAATTAACAAAACACATTTTAAAAACACTATTGACACAGCTTAGGTGTTTAAAATCCAAAATAGAATAGTTAAACTAGACAATATAATAATTATTAAGTGTTTATCTCTGAAGATTTCTGCAATTACTCTACATAGACTTTTGCAACCAAGGATAGAACAAATAATAACCCACTGTTCTGTTTTAGTTCAGAGGAAAATTGCTTTTAATTTGCCTAAAGCAGAAATACATAGTACCTAAAACAAGGAATCTGTAATTCTCTTCTATACATTCTCCTGTAGCTCTCATAACGAAAGACAGGAGGTGGCATACATTAACAGGCAGCAGGTACTGCAAGGATGATATTCCTTCATTTTGTATTTTTTCCATACAGTTTTGCAGATCAGCAACATGGTACTAGAATTTCTCGCAGTAGGGAGATATAACAAATTATGAGCCGATTTTATTTTACCTTTTCTAGAATGCATCTCCTTAAAAACTAATTTATTCTTAAGTCCAAAGCCCAGGCTGGTAAAACTCTGGCTGTGACATCATTTTACTGCATGCGCACGCCTCAAACACTATGAGGTGGAGTGACTGTGAAAAAGCAGCCACCTGGAGACATGTAACAAAGGAGCCGAATTACCCAGACGCTGTAATTGGGTCAGATATTGGGAGAAGCCTAACATTTGCTAAAAAAGATGAGCAACCCTCAGACTGCAATTTTTTTGAACACAAAGAGGCCTCCTTTGAATTAAACACACTGCACAAAATGTTATTAATGGCAAATACAAGAAAAGGGGTTGATAAAACCCATCAGAGATAAAAGGAGGCCAACAAAACCTCTGTTGGTCAAAACCAACTCAAGCTCTTTTTAAGAAATAAGATTATTTGTCCTAAATGAGACAGCTTTTATGTGAAAAGCTATAAGAAATTAATTTTTAGAAGGTGCCAACAATTAATGAAATTGAATAAGCTGCATAAAGCTGCAGAAGTCAAGATTCTTCTTGCTGTTCTGTGTTATTGGAGTAAATACAGTCCAGCGGTTATAGTACAAAACAGGTTTAGGACCTGAAAACTAGGAAATAATAGTTTGACTGACAACTATGCCCTTAGGTAAATAACTTAAATTTAGTTGTTACTTGTTCTGAAAAACAGTCAGCATTTGTGTGGGTGTTTGAGGACCACGGGTGAAATGTTCTAAATGAAAATATTTAACTGGTAGAACTGCGAACTAAGACTACATAAATAACCAAGCAGTTGGAAAGAGCTCTGTGAAGCAGTGTATGACTTCAGAGCTAAGGTATGAGCCTTAACTGCACAGCTGTTGGTGGTGGCAGCAAGGAGACAACTACAAATAGGACGAAGTTAGCTCAAAGATAAATGGAGCATAAAACTCATCAAGTATGTTTTGCCCACAGACTCTCTTGCGGGAGCATGGGAAGTTAGGCAGAGAGTATGGAAACTGGGTTAATAACGGATGAGGGGAAAAAAAGGGGGCGGGGGGAACAAATAGAAGAGTCTTTAAGGAAAAGCATTAAAATTACTTCTAGTGAGATTGAAGACGAGTAAGCATAAAATTATTCTTGAGGTTCTGCAAGATGAATGGGCAGGGAGAATAACCTTTGAATAGTGCTAGTACAATTTGTATTAAATGGTTATTCATCGCAGAGAGCAAAGGGTCAAGAAGGTGGAACAGGCATGAGTACAACCAAAGTTAACTTGTTGACAAAGGTAGCAAATCTTGTAACCTGACAACTGATGTAACAAAATGTAGCACAAACCTGAAGGAGATAAGACTCTCAGGTTGAAAAGAACAAAGCTGGGAAAGAGATGCATGTGTTTGCTTTGAACAGTCAAAGAGAGCCTGGGGGACACATGGGACAGAAGAACTTCATTTGCTCTATCCGTTTGTGCTAGTATCCATTAATGAAACAAATTTCTGTGAAGTAACATTCTGGAGAAAGAAATGTTAATTAAAGTCCTGATTACATAGTTCTGTAGATTAGTTGCGTGCTATCCACAAGGAGAGGCAATAGCTAGAACCCAGTGGAGTTCAGTCCTTTACAGAAGCGATTTAAGTCTTTCACACCATTTTAAAATGAAGTGTGACCTTCATTTCTTCTTCTCCCTAGGTAATATCTGCCAAGAGTTGCTGCCAGATATTAAATGTCCCACATTTATAATTCATGGCGAGAAAGACTGCTTGGTTCCACAAGCTCATGCAGAATACATCCATAAGCACATCAAAGGCTCTCGGTAAGTTATATGGTAGAGTATTTATATACCATTGTTGAAGGAATGAAGCAGTTCAAACCCACAGTGTAAAAAAAAAAAAAAAAGTATTTGGATAAGTTGTGTCTGCCACAGACAGAGCTATTCGAAACTTCCCTAACAAGTTGCAATTAAAACAGTGTAGCTGGACCTTTCTTGCAATATAAAAAGTATAATATTTTCATAAAGTCCTCCAAAAGAAACCAATTCCTCTTTTCATTTCACACACAGAACCACTCCCTAACATTTACTGAAACAAGCACATTTCTTCTGTTTCTGTGTTACGGCCATTGCATTCCTTTTGCTGTGAGAGACCTCATTTCTGTCCCATTCAGTAGAGCAAAGAATTTACATGCTATGAATGGAGACAGATTCCCACTTCTTAGAGAGAAGCACAGGACACTGGTGTTTGCTGTGCCTTGTTGATGTGAACAAGCTCCTGAAAGATTTTGGTTTTCAACGGTCCTGTGAATTTTCAGTGTTTTTAAGAGAAACAGAATAAGAAAAAAAATGTACAACTATGCTCAGGGGTATTACTTTATAAACAAGAAAAATCTCAGGGCACCATCTGCTTCATTTGAAAACTCCAGAAATGCTTCCTATAAAAAGGTGGGATTTCACCAGCTGAATTTTCTTCATAGATTTGCACACAAATTAAAGAGTTCCATTACTACTTAATAACAGACTGTGATGATTAACACTAGAGAAAAGAATTAGGGAGAAAAAAACCTATTCTT